TTTCTGGGTTCATCGGGCTTAGAAGGAAGAAAAATGTCTAGCCGGTAAGGGTATCATTTTTCGTGGTAAAAAGGGTCGAATGTTCCTTCTAAGATTTGCCTTTTAGCCCAAATAAGTAGCTTAACCAGTTAAAAATATAAAATTCTAAATTTTAAATTTGTTTAAATCTAAAATGAAGTGGAAAGTAATTTGAGAAAACTGACTAATTTTCTTTTTTATAATCTATTATTAATGTTAAAAAAATAAAAGGGGGGGTGCAACCAGGAAGACAAAATACAAGTAAAAACAAAACAGTTAGAGATGAGCCTAAGAGAGTAGTCCACCGCTCGTGTGGAAGCTGCACTGTTCTTCATTGCTTCCTGCTATGGCTTCTCTTCTTTCCTTCTCCCTTCCAAAACCTAGCATAATCAAGGCTTCTGCCTCTCCAACTAGTACCCTTTCGATCCCTGAGGCTCTAGATGAGAAATTTGGCAGGAAAGGGATCAAATTCCTGGAAACCAATAACATCCCATTTGTTGAGATGACAGTCAGAAATGGAAGCTCACTTAGGCTGAGAATACCTGATGCTCATGTCACTTCATACAAGCCTAAAGTAACCTGGAAAGAAGACGGGTTTGAGGAGCTTCTTTACACAGTTCCTGCTGGTGGTGGAGCAGACTCTACAAAGGCCAAAGGTGGGATCGGTTTAGTCATCAATGATGCATCTGAAGCAGGCTCAAAAGGGTCTGTTCTGTCTTCCTCTGAGTGGACTGTCAAGGATGCGGACAATGATGCCATTGATGCTCTTCAGGTATTTCTTTAGCTGCAAATTCGTGTCCAAGTTCAACCTTTTTTTCAGTGTTGTGCTTCTGAATCATTAGTTTCCATTAAAAATTCTCAGTGATTTCGGGTTTCTTTAGCTCAATTCTGCTTAGGAAATGTTCAACATCGGCAGAAAACTAAAACATAATTTTTAAGCAGTTAATTCTTTTATGCAAATCTAGTTGATGGAAAATGACAATCCTAAGAAGAGAATGTCTTATTTGCTATAGCTGCTTTCTTTGATTCAGGTTGAATTGAGCTGCACTGCTGGAACTCTCAGTATAAATTATGCCATCTCCCTCTATCCATTAAGCATAGCTACAGCAGTCATAGTAAAGAACAATGGAAAGAAAGATGTAACATTAACCAGTGCCATACTCAGTCATTTGAAGTTCAAGAAAAGAGGAGGAACAGCAGTCCAAGGACTCAGAGGCTGTTCTTACCGCACACACCCTCCCCTATCTTCGCCTTTCGAGCTCTTATCTCCTTCTGAAGCAATGCAATCTGAATCTGAAGGATGGTTTGGTTCTGAGACTGAAGAGAAGCGTGGTGTCTGGACTGTGGAGGACCTTCCTTTTACCATGTTGAAGCAAAAACTCAGTAGGGTCTATGCTGCTCCTCCAGAAGAGAGACTGAAGTCATTTTATAACACTCCACCTTCGAAATATGAAACTCTTGATCAGGTAAAATGAACAGCAGTGCTGATCCTGTTTGGACTAAAAAGCCTAGACCTTGTTTTGTTAGTTGTTTTCTCTAACAGGACGAATAAAGTAAACAATTATTTAACTGTTCCTTAACAGCTAGACCAAACGGGGCTTTAAACTGAGAGGTGAAGGTGTTAAAATTGATTTCTATTCACTAATGTTTATTTTTTCAGGGTCGTGAACTCTTCTTCAGAGTAATACGAATTGGTTTCGAGGACATATACTTATCTAGTCCTGGTTCCATGTCAGAAAAGTATGGGAAGGATTATTTCATCTGCACTGGCCCTGCTTCAATGCTGGTACCTGTGGTGGTGAAACCTGGTGAGAGTTGGAGGGGAGCACAAGTTATTGAGCATGACAACTTATAAATATGTATGACTATATCACATATCAAAATTCACCTTTTTTTCCTTTTTATTCTTTCAATTTCTCTGGGGGTTTTGAGAATCAATATTGGTTTGTAACATTCTATCTGAAGAGTGTATGTTTATTCACTAGCCATGGGAAGTATCATCATGGCTTAGGCCCATATCAGACAACTAAAATAGGTTCATTGAGATGGAAGAAAAAGAAACAAAGAGCACTGGAAAC